AGCGGGAGGGGAAGAGGCTCTCCGTCCGCGGCGCAGGGGGCTATGACAGCATCACTTTTCGCAGGCAGACAGCGCAGGCAGGCGTCAGCAGGCTCCGGTAAAACTGCGCGCCGCCCGGGGAACAAACAGCCGCACAATGTCACCGCACCTCCGCTTCCGTGTTGGTAGTTCAGTCCGAGTTGTTTGAGTGAGAGCCGGACAGGGGGTCGTGTCTCTCCTCACAGATGGGAGGTCAATGTAGCCTATGTGTGGTCTGCCGGTGTAAACATCCCCACCCCCTCGTGTTAGTCAGCTTATTGGAGGAACACAAGTAATTACAGGGATGGTCCGGAATGGTCATGGTGTTCCCACGATGTTACCATATGATTCATGGAGGCTACTAAGTTAAATCTAAGCCCCCAAACATTGATGGTGTCACAATGATAGAGGTTATATTTGTGTTGTATCCCAGTATCATGGTTGATTTTAAGTAGGGGGGGATTAAAACAGCACAGTGTGTGATAATGACCATTGGCTCAAACTTGATGAATCATGTGCAAAACTTCCAACTGCTGACCAGGTTATTGTTCAATTGGATTTGGCGCCATCTTGTGGCACTATTTAATATTGACAGCAAATGAGAGTTACAGTCGTGTTACAGTCTATGGTTACAGTACAATGATGAACATATAATATAAAACCAGTAAAGGGGATTTGGAATTTATTTTTGGCAAAATAATATTAATAAACAGTAGCTTGTTTATTTTCCAATAATGCAGGATTATGAAAATCCTAAAAGTCTAATAAACATACAGCTTTACATTTTAAAGCTGTAAGAACTACACATAACAGTTATAATAATAATATTATAATGTTCTGTTGATTTATAATTTGATAACTGTGGCAGTTTTTCACATGTTTTTTCCCCATATATATGAACTCTCGCGAGACTTGAGTGTGAACTAAGGCCAGCGGAAGTACTGTGCGAGTCTCTTTTCCGCCGGCCATAGAGGAGCAAACGGCAGGGTAAGATTTCCTTGCAGATACTTTCAATAGTAATCACTATCCATCCTGCCTTTATTCTCGTTGTGTGTCCCTATAAACGTCTAAACACAATTTTAACATAATCCAAATCAAAATAATGCCAATATTGAACCCAGATTGATTATTTATTGTTAGTAAAAAACCTATCAGGTTTTGGTGTCCCTGCTAGGTCCCTCAGTATCCGCATGTCGGCTACAGCTAGTGAAGGTGGTTGATTTCTGGTACTTGCGATGAATATTCCGCCTCTTTTACAGTTAACCGCTTTTCATTTAGTCTGTAAAACACTCGGTAATATAACTTTGTTACTGTTGGCACAGAAATACGCTTGCTCTACTCTGTTTAATGTTATGCTAACCTAGTAGCTTTATAGCTTAGCATACGGCTCTGAAGGCAGATTGTAGCCTAGCCTTCTATCTAGCTGTTTTAAAACCGGGAAGGTGTTACGTGTTTCTGCTAACCTTTTTTGCAACGTTAATTTCATTGTAAAATGGTTGATGTGTAGAGAAAATAGCTTCTCGTAGTACTGCAAGTTGGAAACAAGCAATTATATCAGTGCATGCTTACAGGAGTCATGCTTTCATCAGTTGAGACATTTTAAACTGGATAATAACCTTTTTCATGTCTCGTTTGCTTACAGCATCATGAAGCTCAATCCATTTGTAACCTCCTCCCGCCGCAAGAACCGCAAGAGGCATTTCAATGCCCCCTCACACATCAGGAGGAAGATTATGTCTTCCCCACTGTCCAAGGAGCTCCGCCAGAAGTACAACGTGAGGTCCATGCCCATCCGCAAAGATGACGAAGTCCAGGTATTGTAGTTACAATTGCTTAATGTTTTCATCATTGCCATATAAAGTGTAAGGCTTTTGCTTGACATAGTTGTTCATGTTTACAGGTTGTCCGTGGACACTACAAAGGTCAGCAGATTGGCAAAGTAGTGCAGGTCTACAGGAAAAAGTATGTCATCTACATCGAGCGTGTGCAGAGAGAGAAGGCCAACGGAACCACAGTCCATGTCGGTATCCACCCGAGCAAGGTGAGAAAGTCCACTATATCCTCAAATTGGTTTGCTGCCTTCAGTGGCAAAAAAGAAAGTGTAATTGGCATTGTTCAAAGTTGTAACCTACACCTTAGAGAGACTCAAACTGTTCATTAGCTGGGTGTTGACACTGAATTTGTGTTCTTTTCCCCCTTTTTTTAATGTGAAATGTAAGTGCCACACAAATTATGTTCAAGAAGATTCCTTGTTGAGGAAAAACTTTTGTTGTGTTCCTGAAGTACAAGACAAATGTCCCTTTTTTTTATCAGTAATTGTACGAGTATCCTTGCAAGCACTCTAAAAAAGAGGTAGATCTACAGAGAAGCACTTGACTGTTTGATGACACACTATTGTGTTCTATGTTAGAATGAAAGGTCTGGACAACAGTTGATTTGATTGTTTTACTCAAAAAAGGTAAACCGGCTTAAAACTGTCAAAGAAACACTAATCCGATTTACATTCTGTAATCATTGACAATGTAGGAAGCGGTGTGGCTGGATTGAATGACATTTTATTCTTTCTGTTTACCAACCACTTTTTACATTTATCACTTATTTCGGGGCTTTAAAGTTCAAAGTTAAGCTTGAAAGAAAATACATCATAGAGGGCTATACTTCAAAGTACATTTCTTTTATTGTAACTGGAAAGAATATTGTTCCTAATATTTAGATTTTCAGTTTCACACCTTGTTAACAAGATGACAATGACATTTGACCGTGTTGGAAAGTAGGCAATATGAAAAAAACACTATTCTACCAACATTCAAATTCACTGTAGTTTCAGTGACTGAAAAGTTTCACAACATCTTGCTTTGTATTTTTTTTTAAATGTAGTGCTACAAAGATGATACTACCGATGTATGGTACATTAAAGCAATAGTAATGTTGTATGCCTGTATCCTTAGATTGTACGGCTTTTCTGAATAGTTTTGCTCATTTATTCAAATGCAATTATCACAGCAGTTTTAGCGTCCTGGTATTTTACATGTTGGCTCACTCACAGCTATGGCTTACACAGACCCTTAAACAGGCAGCAGACCTGCCATTGCTCATTTGTCCTTTTCTTATTTACTGGGCTGCAGTTGCCTTTTCGTTTTCACCCCACCACAACGATTTTTTTTTAATGTATTAGTTCATCCCCATACTGGCAAAATGCTGTGTTGTAGCAAATTCTCAAACATGTTGAAAAAAGGACAAATTCAAGGAATGACAACAGAGGATTTCAGTTCAAATATAAGTCATCTAGTAAGCCATACTGTTTAACCAGCATGCAATACTTACAGAGTGCTTGAATTCAAAAGAAGTTAAATGCACTCATTACGCTTAAACTGTTATCTTGTGCTCTCTTACAATTGAGAAAAATGTATCAGAGAGAGCTTCACAGTGGGCCTTTACTTTGAAGCACTGAACTGTGAATTATAAATACAGACATTTGATGCACATCATGTTTGGCTTTATAAGAAATGTGGTGCCGGTCATGTTCTATCCATGTGTCTGTTGTGGAACTTATATGTACACTTGTAAATAGTATTTTTATTAAAACGGTTTTGGACATACTTTCATTCCGTAAGTAGTTGTGACACCAGATTATTTTCAGACATGCCCTACTATGATTGGCATCACTTGCTTATTCCATGATTGTTTACCAACCCGTTTTTATTTTTCCTTTACAGGTGGTCATCACCAGGCTAAAGCTGGACAAGGACCGCAAGAAGATCCTGGAGCGCAAGGCCAAGTCTCGCGCCGATGGAAAGGAGAAGGGCAAATACAAGGAGGAGACCATTGAGAAAATGCAGGAGTAAAAAATACTTTTTGCTTTCAATAAAAAAATGTATAAATGGACCATATGCTGTCTGTCGTGTGTTGTTTGATTATGTAGGTGAGTTGTTTTGTCTTTGCAATCATTATGTATTGTCTACATTAGGGAATCTTGGTCAAATATGACCTGCCTTATTTGAGGTACACAATGCATCCCTTTTCAGAAGATAATTAGGTAATTGTCATGTCTGTACAGATCCCACCAAACTCTTGAATATTCATTTTGTGTCCACTAAAAGTGAGTCTTTCAGCATCTAGGAATCCAAGGTCATTAAGAATTAGTGCTGACAGATGTTTGCTATCTGGAGGAACTCGTTTTGAATACAGATACATTTTTTTCTTTTGAGTAATGCACATACAATAAAATACAGATATTTATGGGCTCTGTCTTATTTTGATTTCTTATCCTTGACGGATATAAAGACGTCTACCCATTTGATTGGATTTTTTGAAATTGGATTAAGTCTTTTAGAACCTGGCAATTATGCAAATTATGAGTGGAATGTTACTGTAAGTTTCATAAATTGTCTTGTGGAGGTTAGATTTCTCAATATTTAGGGTCAGACTCTAAAATGAACATTACATGAGTAACCTGAAAAGTATTTATTTAACCCACGCACCACACACAGTTATTGCCAAGGGGAAGGGTAGCAATAAATGCAGAACATTTTCTCTTTTCCAAAAGATTCAAAGATTAATTGAACAGTTTAAAAATGTTTACCAATCTCTAAACTGCAATAATTAAAGGAGTGAACTGATTTTTTTTTAAAAAGGCCAAATTGGTCGTTTCTCCAAATGTAAAGATATATATTTGTTCTCATTGTTTCATACAAGGCGAAGACTCACGTACTTCTCTGGTCAGTCGTCATGCTCTTTATTTTAAAACATGTCATACCAATAGCACACATTAAATACAAATAATCAAGGGCCAGTTAACTATCATTTATATAATATGAATTGCTGATCAGTCTAGATAACACTTGACAAATCAGTTTTGAAAATATTTGTAAATTCAGTTAACATAGATTATATCAATGATTTGTTGATCAAAATGACGTATTCCAACCTATACACAGTCTATGATTCCAACTCCTTAAATGTAACAATATGCTGCTTTTCTTTGTCTCATGTTTTATATGCCAAAGTGGTCATTGCCTCATCTTCTCAGGAGGTTTGCAGATTAATTTTGTACATATTAATGTTTCATACACTAAATGCTAGACTGTTCCCTCCCTCTTGTTGGTGGTCATGTGATACGTGCTGCCTGTGGATCCTGTCTGCCAGCTGCACAGCACTGAAGTTGTCAAAAGTTTGTACAACTGAGATATCCTTGGTTTTCAAGAAACCCCACCATGGCAGAAATGGGTTTTGTGATCGCCATGTCAGTGATGACTCTGTTTTGGGGCATTATCGGAGGAGTAGTGCCGTGGTTCATCCCCAAAGGACCAAACAGAGGGTGAGTTTGTTAGCTTACCTTTAGCTTCCTATTGGCTACACAGCCAGCTAAGGGAAGTGTTACTTTATGTTATCCCGTGACTCTCATTTGTTACAAGTACACTGTATTATGTAGCGACACTTTAAAAAAGTTTCTCAAAGTTACTTGAACAACTAAAACATGTAAACCTTGTGGGGAAACTTTGTTTGCCAAAGTAAAAGTTAGTGTTAGCTAACTAAGCTACAGCCCCTCTTGTGTTAGTCAGTACTTCCCACTTTTTTTTAAAAATATTGATGTTATTGACATATCGCTGGAATACATTTCAATTGTGTATTTTTATATATTTAAAGACCGAACTCAAGGGCAATGTACTTCATCTCTGGAAAATATGCCTGATTGAACTTCCTCTATTTGCCTGTTTGTCACTTGCATCACGAGATCACGCTATGTTAAAAGTATGTGATGTTTTTTTACATTAATGCAGTATTAGATGCTTACCTCTTACATATTTTCTCAAATTTCCACAGAGTGATAGTCACAATGCTGGTGTTAACTGCTGTTTGCTGTTACCTGTTGTAAGTATTATCATCATTAAAGAAATGTACAAATAAATTAAAATGTTGTTTTCTGTGCTTTAAAACCGGTATATGTTAAGACCATGTCATGCATTCATGAACCAATAGCACAAATTGAATCAAAAAGTTAACGGTCAGTAATAATCACGTATAAAGCAAACATATTGTTATGATCAGTTGATTTGAATAATTCATGTAATTTTTGGATTAAAATGATTTATTCAATATATTCCTCATACTCCTTAAATGTAACAATATGCACCTTTTCGTTTTCTGATGTCTTATTGAATTACTATGGAGTATGCACTGTTGAAGGTTTTTCCTTTGCCTCTATGTGTAATGAGCAGTTTCAATATTTGTTCACGTCACTATTTTGTGGCTTTTAAAAATGTACATTATAAATAATAGATCAGAGTGCCACTGTTCTACCACTGGACGTTTATGTGTATAGTATTACTGTCTTGTGATATATTATTTATATTCACAATGAGTTGAAGTGTGCTCATGTTACATGTAAAATATGCAAAATAACTCCATAGAGACAGGTGAAGTTAATTTATGAAAGCCCTCAATTTGATAATCCTTAAAACTGAATCTTTTATAGTGAAAATGATTGGCCTGAATTCAGAATTACCTTTTGTAACACAATAGGAAACACAATAACTTTTTTTTATTTGCCTTTTTAAGTAGTTTTGTATTGACACATTTGATTTTAATACCCTTTTTTTCTCATCAGCTGGTTGATAGCAATTCTGGCCCAGCTGAACCCACTTTTTGGGCCATCTCTGTCCACTGACGTCATCTGGTACCTGAACTATCACTGGGCTTAATGTATTCTTAAAGGATTCCCGAATCATGCAGGTACACTTCCTCCTCTGAAAAAAGTAAATTATAGAACCTACCTTTTATTGTGTACCTTTTATGCAGCTCATACTGTACTTATATAGTAGCCTATAACTCATTTATATTATTGCCATGCTTGTTTTTTTAACTGTTCTTTTTACTTTTGCCAGCAGGGGAGGACCTGATTCTGCTGCATACCAATGGACGTTTGCTTCTCACCTCATGCTGAGATCATTCCTTCTAAACTCAGACCCCTGTTTGATATACAGAGTGATGCCCACACTTGCGCCTTGTGTAAAAATAATTCCCAAAGGACTTCTGAGAGATCTCACTGAATGTGCTTTACTTTAAATTGAAACAACATTCTCTTGTTGTCCGGTGTATATGTTATGTATATCGTGTTTATTGTTAATATGAATGACCTGTCTTTAAATAGTGAAGTGGAGTATTTGATGTGTGTTCGATTGCTTTTGTCTGATAATATTAGTGATGGATGTAATCCATACGATAGTCGTTAATAAACAAAAAATACACCATTGCTCTGTCACTTTGTATTTTGTTTTTACTCATTTATTACTTTCTAGCCTAAAGTGTTGATATTTCTGACACATGTTTTTGTCAATGTAATTTTAGATTCTCCTTGTTATGTTGACACATCGTGATACATTTTAGTGTAGGCTACATGTTAATGACTGTAGAACGTTCTTAAGGCTATTTGTTTATTTCAGTGAATTTTGTCTTTGCAGACCATATATATCAGTAATGTAAATACTTTAAATATAGTATAACACCATATTTGTATTGTATACATTCTGTTTTTTAATATCGTACGAGGTCTGTTCTGTTCATTTGAATGGGCGACCTTCGACCATCAAAACAGACTTCCGGTTTTTCCGTAGCTGCGAGCCGGCTAGTTGGCAACATGGCGTCCTCAGATGTCCACGTCCGAATTTGTGAACAAGAAATACTCAAATATGACCTGGAAATCAAAGCTCTCATCCAGGTGCGAGTATTTATTTGATAAGATTACATAGCACTATGTGAAGACATGGTGCTTTTGAAGCTTGTCATGTAAGTGAACCGTGTGATAGCAGAATGCTAAATGAAGTGTTTCCAGCTCGAGACAGCCGGTGTACTGACAGCTCGAGACAAGCTGCAGCTACCGGTGGATTACACATGATTTTACCTTTCTCTTTAATGCGTCATATTTCCTTATATGTAAGGGTATTATATGAAATGTGAAAACGCGACTATCAAGAACTTATATTGGCTATTGTCAAAGGTAACGTTGGCTTATTCTGTCATATATAAATTATTCATGTTGAAGCTGATTTACAGTAGGATGCACCTGCTTTACAAAAAGACCAATCTTAACTGAGTTTGGGTTAGCTTTCTCTCACACATTTGAGTGGACCTATATTTGTAATTTAGTTTCCACTGATTGCTTTTTTAAATGTGTAAAGGAAACCCATTCAAATAGTTGGATAATTCATTGTTGAAGTCACTTACCATATGCACAATTATAATATTCATGTGTCACTATTTTCACGCTTAGGAATAATTGACAGACCAATAGATATATGACAGACAGTCTAAGATCATCTTTAGAAAACCACTCAAACAGCCCTCATTCTCCAGCAGTGTTTGGAGTGCTTTTACAGTCAAATGAGAGTTTATACCAGTAAACCTATGCATGTTATTCTCATCCTTGTTTTGATACCTCACCAGGACCTCAATGAGTGCCAAGGCCCTGAAAGTAAGCTGACAGAACTGAACGCAGACGTGAAAAAGAGTTTCCACAATCTCAGGTTGCGGATTCAGGTAAGAAACTATTTGAAGCTGCACATCAACTACTTGCACTTGGTAGTATCATAATAGAGGGCTTTTTTTGTTTCTTTGACAGGATTTTGAGCAGATGGCCATGGAGCAGGACAAAGAGTCGGAGAAGCAGGCTTTGAATAGTCAGGTGGAGGGACACAGAAAACAGATGCTGAGGTAATAATACTGAATGTGTGTCCTCTTGGTTATTTGCGTCATTTTGGATTAAAGCATCAGCTAAATGTAATTAAATGTCTGTATATTTAAAAAATCTAACATTCTGTGGATTGTATTATTGTGAACTGCTGTGTTTCTTGTCACATTTGTGTGTTGATAATGCAGCTAACCTGGAGGAAAACGGTCATGTGATTATTATATTTTCTAATTACACTTGTGGTTATTAAACTTTGTGTTTGTGACTATGTTCACAGTAACCAGACAGGTTGGAGGAAAGCCAACTTGGCCAGCAAACTGTCTATAGACAAAATGGAGAAGCAGGCGCTTCTTTATGGAGCAGATAGTGCTGTGAGGGAGAGGTGAGCCAACAGTGTGTAATGTTTCTTAAAGAGACGACTGGCACTCAGCTTTATGTCTATTTTTGTTGAAGATACACAATTCTCTCAGTCTTGTAATAAATAAATACATCATTCTTATCTTTGTAGTCCTTTTTGAGTATACATTCAAATAATGGTTTTATTCTATTTCTCAGGAAGATGACCAAAGAAGGCTTGGCCCAGACAACCAGCGACATCACAGAGAATCTCATGAGCATCAGCCGGATGATGGCGCAGCAGGTCCAGCAGAGCGAGGAGACCATGACCTCGCTGGGTTAGTGAAGACAAACACAATATAGAATTATCATTTTTATACCAAGGGCATCTACCAGTTACTTAAAATTTGATTGTTTTGTTGAACTTGTTTAAATCATACTTTGAAGGCTTTAAAGGGGAGCAGCTGCCACCACTGTGTTACATACATACATTACCCTTGGGTAAAAAACGTTACTATATCCTTTTGAAAGACTTGAAAGGAAGTTGAATCTTCATAGCAATTTGAGTCTTTATCTTGAGTAATATTCATAACATTTCAAAATGTTAACCATTTAAATGCCAGTCTGTTATTTTTTACAACAACAAACCTCCTCTAAACCTTTGTTATTTTATTTTTATTAAATGCTAGGGGAACTTTGTTTTCCACAGGCTGGGTTATGTCAATGATAAGCAGTATCATTGATTTTGATGCATGGCATTAAATCAGAATCAGAATACCTTTATTCGTCCCACAGAGGGGAAATTTACATTTGTTCCAGCAGAAAAAGAGCCAAAGACAGCTTAATGTTGACAAGAAGTATGCATAAAAAAATTGAAAAAATAAATATTAAAAATGAAAAAGAAAAAAGAATTACACAATTGAGACTGCCAAGGCACACNAGCCTTCCATCTGTGCACAAAGGCTCTAAGGAAGTGGCAGATTTTTTCCGTCATTTTGGAGAAACCAGCTCGAGTGCGCTAGAATTTGAAAGTACACAATCGGAAAAAATCTGCCACTTCCTTAGAGCCTTTGTGCACAGATGGAAGGCTGGCAGGCAGGTAGGCCATCCAGTTATTTTAGCCGGGCCGGGTAAAATGATTGGTCGTGCTTTTTACAGCGCTACGGCTTCCACAGATGAAATCTTTTTATGGATTCAAAGCACTTAAGATATTCATTGCTATCGGGATGTTAAGAGCATTCCATGGAATATAACAAAAAGTGTATCTCGAGCCGGTTTCTCAAACGTACCTACCCCACCTTTAATGAAACTCCTCCCCCACATCTTGCTGGTACATTCTTGAATAAATTAACAATCGTTTTGAAATGTGAAAATGGTGAGAAAGGCCCATTGCATTTTACCCAAAACCAGGGCAACATCTCAGTTTATTTAATGTCAGCAGTCATCAAATTAGTTAAACGTATTATCATTGAAGACTAAGAAACCAAACCAGCTAGTATTCCCATTTAAGAGGCTGGATCACAAAAAAATATTTGCTCTTCTGTTGGCCTCGCTGGAAAGGTTGATTTTTTGAAGGTCTATTTTAGTCCAGACTGAAATAATAAAAAATACATTTGATGGATTACCTTAAAATCTTGGTAAAAGGGACCAGTTTGTGATTTTTGGAATGCCATGACATTTGGTATCTTAATACACGTTTTTCCTCTAGTGCTATCATAGGGTCAAAACACATTTGATCATACTTTGGTTGATGACCGAAACAATAGCAGAACTAATGGCATTCCCATCAGCCTCAGCTGTGCTGCCAAAAGTTAGCATGCTAACCTATTAAATTAAAGTTGTGAAAATTATGTCTGTTAAATATCAGCTTGTTAGCATTTGATTGTGAGCATGTTAGCTTGTTAACGTTAGCATTTAGCTCAAAGCACTTCTATGTCTAAGTACATCCATATAAAGCTACGAGAATGTCTGGCGACTCTTCGGGTTGTTGCTTTTTAAAGTTATTTTAAATTGATGTTATGTCGGATAATGAAGTATAGGCTAAAAAATAATGGATACAATCTTAACGTTTCAGCTTTGCTATTATGATGATTTCATGTTGATTTTATGATGATCCTTCATTATGATGACAGTCCTAACCAATATCTACAATCAAAGACAATGTCAAGTCTCTTCAGGCATCACATTTGAATTGATATCGTTACTGGTGGAATGGGTCCATTGACACTGAAAGTGACATTTAATGAGTTTCTGTCTGAGATATCACAACCAAATTGGTTTTATTTAAATGTAGTGCTTACAGCTAATTGGAACATCTCTTAAATCGCAGGACAATTATAATGGGGCGCTGTTATAGTATTATAGGAGTTTTCCATTATTTTATTGAATCGTTCATATGTCAATGAATCAGCTCCAGTATTGGTCCCTAGATGATGTCATCAAAACATGTATCCCCCGAGCTGTGCTATATGATACAATATCACACATGAATTAAGTATTTTATGTGGATTCTCCCATTAACCCATTTCTGTTAGCCTCAGCGTCTGCTCTTTGAATAGCCGTCTGTGGTCCTAAACATAATCTCTGCATGGATCCTCATCCTGGTCCTGTATGGGAGGTGCCTCATTCACTAACCTGCTTAACCTACTTTCTACTTGCCGGTCTTTCATCTGCCCGCAGAGAGGAAAGTGCTGTAGGATATATATAGAATACTTAACACGTACACAGTGTTCGTCCAAGCTTTTCCGGGCAGCATGGATGGTTCCGTGCTTTGTTGTATTTCTGTATCCTTAGTTCCTTACCCTTAATGCACCACTGATCATTTCCCTAATGAAAACCACGTTGCTCCCAACATGAACTCCTCATGTTCAGCCCATTAACCCAACTGGTAGAAAACGTGTTGGGACGCGCTTGAACCTTCATTGAGATGAATATGACCAAAATAATGACATTTTAAGATCTTAATTGTCCAATTATGTAGACAGCTGTTGTGCTGCATTGCAATGCCAGTTCAATTGCAGTTTCCTAGCAACCGGAATGGTACAATGCAATGATTTTCTGTTAAGTGGCACCATTTCCTCTCAGCGTGACTACACTGTATGTTCCCAAAACAAATATAAATGCGCAATGTGTGAATGCTTCCTTGCCTTAAGGCCACTTTTGCATTACTGCTTATACCATTTTAATACATTTAAATGTTCGTGTTTTGTGTAAGGATACCTGCTAATGTAGACATCCATATTGGTCATGACTCATGTGTGAATCCGTATTCCCATGAGGTATTTCACAGCATATGAAAAAGCTGTGTCGCTGCAAACAAAATGATTTCAGTTGATTAATGTTCATCCAAAATGCACCGTCCTGAGCTAATCATTGTACATGCATTCTTTTCAATTAATTCATTATCAAGGGAGCTACAGAGAGGGGGGGAAGGCTGGGGGGAGGGGAAAGGAGAGTCAGGGGGGGAAACAGAAAATCCAATCGAGCTGGTCTGAAGTCTCGGAGCAATGGAGCATTAGTCTCATCCTGATGTAATTGGAATGACACCAAGAGTAAAGCCCGCTGATTTAGGGACAGCCTCTAGGCTTGATTTAATGCCCTCTACCAAAACTATACATCCATCTTTTTATCTTTCTCTCCTTCCCTCTCCCAGGCCCTCCGTTCTCCTCCGTGTTCCTCCCCCACCCTGTCTCGCGCTTTCTCCGTTCACCAGTTACTGCCATGCATCTCCATCTGTACTCCATTAAACAGAACAGTATCTGCATTTTATCACATTTCAACCAAGGCGGTTATAAACTCCCTCGGAGCGTGTGTTTCCAGCCTTTTACTTAGTCCTTTGGCTTTTACACACTTGAATGGCTGTGTTTTACTCTCACAGAGGTTGCGCTTTATTACTGAATAAATATCTCCAGAGAAGAAAGCGTAAAGAAAAGGCCGGCTAAGCAGGTGTATCAGGCCAGGGTGCTGCGTCCCGGGGGTTTCTGCTGCTCAGTCCCCTGACAGATGGACGGCCAGGGCAATCCTATTACCCTACATGTGTTTAGCTCCTCTTAATGCCATGGTGGGATGCATGGCTAATGGAAGGCAATGAATGTTTGGAGTGAAAAAAAATCTTATGTTACTGAATCATCCCTATTTGTTTAATAACTTTGAGGGGATCTAAAACTAGTGAAACGGCATTGAAAATGATAACCATGACAACTTTGTAGCTCAGTTAGTGCGCTCTGACACAGCTCGTCTCACTGAGCGATGTCATATTAATCAGCTCAGCCACTAAATAGGCTTTGCTGTATATATTTCACATCAGGGATTTCATCCACCCTTGTCCAGCAAATTGACTTTTAAAAAGTGTCATCACTGCTACCAACCTTCTGGAGTCATATTTGTGAGTATCACAGAGTGGAGATAATAATATATCATGTCTGAATGAGACATTTAGTGCCCCTATAATAAAGCTGGAAATAAAGGGGGCAAAGGTCAGCCTCAGGTTGAATCTTAATACTGACTTTCACCCTTCTGTTCCTGTGTTCTTTACTCACACTCATCCACAATTGCATCATGCATTATGGCTGTATATGTCATGCAATAATATGGATGTGTTTACCCTCAGAGATTTGTATTTAACCATTGTGGGCAATATTATAAATCAATTAGCAGCAATGTTTTATGGCAATATAGATTATTAAGCCATGATAGCGGCTCTTTGGGTGGCAAGAATGTCCTGACTGGAATATCTAGACAACTATTGTATGCATTGGCATATCATTGTTTATAAAGATGTTCCTCTTTTTAACTTTAATTACCCTTTATTTATTTTTCTTGCACTTTCTTTGGGTTGATGTTTTTTAAATGTCTGGACAACTATTGAATGGATTCCCATATCATTTGGTAAACACAACCATTAGCTCTTTTGTAGAAATGGTAATAACTTTGCTAAACCCTTGACAGCTATCGTTAGGTCAAACTGTTGGTCTGACCAAATATCAGCAAAACAAATAACCATCCAAAATCAATAAATGTTAGCTTTATAACATGCTTAGATGGTGAAAACTGTTAACAGGTTACCTTCTGAACATCAGTATGCTAGCATTGTCTTTTTTTAGCATTTTGCAGTGCTAGCGTCCGCATCTTTATCATAGCATGGCTTTGTCAAAGTGTAGCCAGTACAGCCTACAGAGCGGCTAGACTGGCTGTAACTCGCAGATAGTCTTGCAATATGATTTTTCCATCAATGTGATGTTGAAAAAACATTTCAGGCATTTAATTGTATTAAACTGGATTAGCCAAAACCAAATATTCCTGTTCTTATTTAATCCATAATCCATCCATAAACAGGAACAAAAATATGAAACGTTATACTTAAATAAATCCTATATCGATATTGCAAGCCGACTCCATTCTGAAGACTCTGTGAAATGTACTGCAGAAGACATACTGTACGGCTTTGTGACCCGCTATTGAAAATCAAGCATGCATTCAGAGGAACCCATCAGTTACACACCAAATACACTTTTTTTTGGGCAATCTTAGTGGCATATCTTGTGTTTGAAAGTATTTGATGCAGATTTTGGATTGATTTGCACAAGATTTCACTCATTTATCTTCAAGGCATTGCAGATGTAATTATTTGACTGTTTTGAGGGAAATCAGTGCACAATTGAATCACTGTCTACCGGTCAATTAGATTAACTGCACCATGATATATTTTCCACCTCTCGTGTTAAGATATTTTTCCTATATATTATTAACAATATGGCTCTCTAATATATTTTGTATTGATCTATCTTAATCTCATATTTGTTGGATTAACTGGATGAAAGTAATCAATATTATACCCTATTTAAACCAGACCTTATGCAGTGGTCAATATACCATCGACTGCAGTATTGAGGGCTTTGAGGGATTTGCAGTGAAGGTGAAGTATAACTCTACTGTGTGGTCAAATATCTATACTGTGTGAATGTATATACTGCTTGGTATGCAGGCAGCGTTGTTGCCGCCTGTAGCCCAACCAACAACGGCATCCCCAGGTCAAGCAATTACCACACATCAAGGAAAGCAATTGGGCATGACTAAAATATCATTGCCATGTGATCGTGTCCCTATGTTCGGGCTGCTGTAGCCTAATTTAACCCACTTTGTCCATACGACAGAGGAGAATTGAGGACACGCTCTCCAATCCTGGTGGCCCCCCGAGCATTTCCTGCAAGTCTGACACGCAGCAGCTGGGCCGTAGACGCGCCGTCACCGGTCTCCTACCCAGCGGAGTGAGAGATGGGATGTAATGAGCGAGAGAAGTGAGCCAGCAGAGGAGAACAAGTGGCTGGAGGTAGAGGAAGGGAGCAATAGGCTACATGAGCCATTGGGTGCACAAACTTGAGGCATTTCGAGTAAAGGATCTCAGACTAAAATCGATCCTGGGATCACTTGAAGGTTACATGACAGCATCAATTTAAGAGTCGTACTGGTTTCCAGTCAGGGTTGTTGCTTTCCATCTGCACAGGAGCCAGTGTGGTCACATTCGGACTTGATAGGGGGGGGTTAAGGGGGAGAAGATTGGCATATATGAACCAGGAATGGGAGAGGCAAGGAGCGAGATGGTGAATGTTATTAGAGCGGCAGCATTGATCCCAGGCTCTGGCTCCGAGCAGCATTCAACACTCATTATACAGTCAAATATCTCGGTGCCTTTAACTGCCAACCCTGCCCTTCATCTGTCTGTCTCTCCTCCTCATAACCCCCCACCCCCACCCCCTTAGCCTCCCAACAAAATCTGACAAACCTGAACCTCTCATCCATGCGGCTTCATTCTGCTAAACCCATTGTTTCATCGATAGCATTTCAATTTCATCCCGTCTTGCTGCTCGGCTGTAACTTAGCCGTAAGTCTTTTGTGGAAGAGGAACAATGTGTGTGTCTTTTGTCCTCGTGGAGCCTGTTTAAATATTGATAGAGATGGGAAGCATCGCTGACCACTCAGTCAGATCTGAGAGGGTCAAGGATGACAGAGTTCCTCTGCAGATTTCATTAAGGGAGCAGAGGACTGTAAATACGAAAGCATGTGAACCACGGGCCCTCACAGACGCTCCGGCAACCTTCATTATCCCCCCGCATGGATAGCGTCCTGTAATGTATTCTGATGGGGAGATGGAGGTTGGAGGGTGATGGGGTGTTAAATAGCATGTGTAGGAAGGCCCTGTTTTCCTGCCACGAGCAGTCTGCTACCCTCACAGCCAGATACCCATTAGTACAGGAGCAGAGGATTGGATGTGCAAATGGTCCCATGGATTAGAGAGTTAATGCATTTAGGAGAGGGGGCTCCACAATCTCTTTATTGCCGCTGCTGTGAGCGTGTGTGTGTGTGGGTGTGTGTGTGTGTGTGTGTGTGTGTGTGTGTGTGTGTGTGTGTGTGGAGGCTCGTGCCGGGGAGATACCCAGTCCCTTTGTGGAGCTTGAGAGATTTAGGGTAAAGTGAGTAGATAAGGGCAGCGATGCACTGCAGCCACACATCTGAGACACACACACACACACACTCACGCACACACTCACACACACACACACACACACACACACACACACACACACACACACACACACACACACACACACACACACACACACTCACACTCATCAAAGCTTACGGTTTGACCAGTCGAAGGTCTTGTTCTGTTATTAAAACTCAGCATTGAAACGAAGCTTTCCAGAAAGAGGCGCAGACGGCGGCCCTACTAATCTAATTAATCAGCGTCTGGGATTTTTCATTTTCTTCTGGCCTCTCTGTGGCTCTCCGGTCTTCTCTCTTCCTCGACTCATCCCTCTCTCTCCGTCGCGCTCCTTTTGTGTCCTTCTCTGCCCCGATTTATCTGAATCTGAACTTCACGCCCATTTCTCAAGTGTTCGGACCAAAATGTGCCTTGTCATGCGCTTCCTATAGCATTTAACTCATCTCATAAAGCATCTGTTGTGCTCTCTTGGTGAATAGCTGCACTAAGGGAAGCACATACAGTATGCTCAATCTGCTGTGATAGATGCCTCTGCAGCAAGCAAGCAGGATGAAGATGGAGGGATGGATGGCGATGCAGTGCAGGGTGTCGAGACAATAATCAAACTGTCTGATTTACACGTACATAGATGGTCATCAGAATATGATCTCTTCCTCTGTGGTGGTGTTTCCAGTGAGCGTTACATTTGCTGCTTGTGGTTTTTAAAGATGGGAGGGGCCCTCCTCGGTGGGTAATACAGCACGGCTCTGCTCTGTGCTATCCGGCACAGTGAGTCAGCTGAGGGGCCAGTGAATGAATGAGAGAAGAGACCCTGCAGGATTTTTAGGATACGGAAAGGCGAAAGGTGCAACTCTGGAAGCTGAGAGCCTGACATGGAAACGGAGAAGTGATCGGAGCAAGCTTGTTGACGCATAATCCCGCCCGCCCCGCTGGCACTGGGAGGGGGCAAATCTCGCCTGCTTAAACTCAAATCCTCCACAAGAGGTTTACGGAGTGCGCTGCTGCACCTTCAACAAGACATTTCATATATATTTTTTAACCAGCTCTACAGGCGATCTGTGGTGAATTTGATCATATTTTATTGTATTCCTGGAGAGACATAGGCCTACGTGTCACAAACGAAGGATCTAACGCGATAATATAATTGAGGTATTTAATCCAGTGTTGGAATCGGCACTGTCACTGCGTCGCGGTTGGATACGCCCTGAGGTGAGGACAGGACCTGCCCGTACATCGTCACCACCATCACGACCACCACCATCATCACAGGGATTTGATCGTGATTGTGTTGATTACACCGGAGATCTGGAGCCATGACAGCCCCCCCGCTGGTCCCACAGCCCGCCTGCTGACGGTACCGGGCATGATGGGAGCAGGTCTGCCGCGTTCAGGATCCCGAAACAGCCGATTTATCAATGGAGGAAGAGAGTGACACCCGGAAAATCAACAACAGCTTCCTTCGCGAGCATAACTATGCAACCGAAGGTATTTAAACCGATGAAAGGAAACATAATTTAATTTAAACTGCTTTACCTGCATAGGAAATAAACTGAGGCTGTTGCTAGAGGGGTGCAAATATCACATCAAACCAAAGTGACTGCATGGGAATCTCTAAGAAATTAAAATATAAATGGCCTAAGTGATCGAATAAATATAACATATCAGGCTATAGTGATGCTGTTTGTAAATGCGATTTAAAGAGCATTTAATAACCCCAACACCCTATAAACTATAGGGGAATTAAAGGAATATTCCAGTCATTTGCCATAAACATGGAGCTTGTAGCTGAGCATGAGACGATGAGGTGGCTTCCCATCATGCCTGCTATTTTAAGATGATCATCCTGACCGAGGGGAATCAGGGCTTTAATCTGTTTGGACCATGGGAAGCAATGGGATAAAGCCTCCTGTAAAGCTTTAGTCTGGAGTGTATGAAGTAAACATGTAATGCAGTTTAAAATGATTGAATTGATGGTTTATTTTTTTCATTCAATGTTCACTTATTGAAATACTTGCACAGAGAAGGGGCCCTCATTTTTAGAGGCAGTGTATTGAAATGTGGATGTCTCTTTTAAACACACAAAGCAGTTCTACCGTACATGATCATAATTGGATCTGCAAACAATAGCTTTTGTAGTCTTCAGCCTAAATGCTGCTTCTGCACGTGTGTGTGTGTGTGTGTGTGTGTGTGTGTGTGTGTGTGTGTGTGTGTGTGTGTGTGTGTGTGTGTGTGTTTCCTTCTCATTGACCACCAATCAGCCCTTCTTCTGCCTGTTATCTAATTGATGGGAAATAGTTCCCTTATGTTCCACCAATCAGCTCCACCTCTCCCCCATCTGCTTAGATCATTGATCAACATTAACCATTGATTTAAAGTGGAAATGCTTTCATTAATCTTATTACCACCTTGTTCCACATTCACTTCATTGTATTAGTCATATCGGTTATGAAAGTTAACTGCTGTGATAATATCAGTAAGCTTTAATTGCAAACTGAACATCTTTAATGTCATCCTGCAATGCTGTAATGTACATTGACTCTAAATGTATCAAATTACACATCAATTCTTATTTTTAACACATAATAACTCAAAGTATACATTTACTTCTATGTGGATGTCTATTTTATTCTCTTTAATAATGCAGTTATTTAACAAATAATTGATACCAAGGTATTGTATAGATATTTCTATATTATTTCTAATATATTATATATTAGTGCATTGAGTGGTCTTTATATTTCAGGTTGAAGTCAGTTCAAAGATAGTCCCTGGCCTGCAGTAATATATTCATTGCAATACCCATTTACAACAAGGTGTAAAATAGAACCTCTATAAAATATATATATATTTTTTTATTTAAAGGAGCATCCCGGTATTGAACAACCAAATAGAAAATCGCACAACTTATCTTCAGAATTTGATAGAATGTCATAAAGGGGTATTGGGGCTTTATATGAGTTGGTGGAGGGTGTGTGTAGCTGCAGGGAGGGTCCGAGCCACAAGAGCTTCTTCCATTTGCCACCAGTTCAGGTTACAGATGCCACTGCAGGTTGGAGGAGAGACAAAGTCAAAGCCCATAAAGCAGAGTCTCCTTCTCACCGTTTCTCCTGCTGCTTTCCTCAATGTATTTTTCCCCCCTCCATTTCAACATGGCTGATCATCATCATTTTCTCTCCTGCTCCAACAGATGATTCCCTGTCAATTCTAAACACACAGTCACTGGTTTACAGCGAGAAGAAGTGGAGTGGGGTGGGAGTGTGGGTGTGATTTGTTTGATGTGTGTGCTGAGATGAAAAACAGTAGGGGATCTTCCTTTTGCAGCTTCTTCATGTCTCAATCTGTTTCATTCATTTGATCAGGGGAACGTGCAAGAGTTACCCAGGGTGTAAAACCTGTCTCTGAAAGCAAAGCACTGTCTGGTCTGTGGCCCATCTGCGCTTTTTTTTAACAACAAACGTCTACTTTTGTTATATTTTATTGCTGTAATTTATCACTGATGGTCACACCTCATATACCATGAGTGTGTGTGTGTGTGTGTGTGTGTGTGTGTGTGTGTGTGTGTGTGTGTGTGTGTGTGTGTGTGTGTGTGTGTGTGTGTGTGTGTGTGTGTGTGTTTGTGTGTATGTGTGCCCCGTCACTCGCTCGT